CACTACCACTATGGCCACTTACGACCACCCTCACCACCCTGCCATCGCCATAACAGTACCAACAAAGCCACTAACAACCACCTCCAGCATCAATCACTTGCATATTACCTATTTTATGGGCCACTGAAATTCCACACCCGCATTACAGATATGAAATTGGGTCTTGGTGATTTGCCAGCTAGTTTGCCACACCTGAAACATGATTGAGTTTATTGCCTGGCCTTGGTAACATGGGTAGCAGTGAGCATACTAGTTCTATTCTCGTTGCCAATTGTAACAGGGACTAGAAGGTTCTCCAATCTAAAGGAAAAGAAGTGGTTTCTACTTGTACTCCAAAGGAAGAGCTTTCTCATTGGCTTCGAGAAGCAGTAGATGCTCCTGGTAAAACTCCTGAACTTGATTTGCCATCGACTTTGTCTACAATAGCACAATCTGTCCGTATCTTGTATGGGGAAGAGTCCTCCAAAATTCCCCCATTTATTGACCCGGGACTACCTCCCCCCCTTCCCCAGGATCCTCGATGCAGTTTGAAGAAGACGAAGAAGAAGAAGAAGAAGAGGATCACATTTAGCCAATCAGGACTCTCAAGTGGTTGCCTGTAACTGCCAAGATAGCCACCTTGGAGAACATGTTTGTTCGTCATCCGTTCTTCTAGAGCCAGCCTTTCCTCTGCATCCAAACTCGAGTGACGGGGTTTCAGGATTCCCTAGGATTGAGCCAAACTTCAACATAGCTTCTCTCAATCCGAAAATGACGAGCTTATCATCTTCATCTGGGACAACTACAATCAAGAAAGTGACTGTAGTGGGCGCTCCTTAATGGCGACGACGGCAAGAAAGAGGGTAAAGAGAGAGAGAGACGAGAATCGAAGAGGAGGAGGAATAGAATAAAAATGATTTAGGTTTTGTTTGTGATTAGGGCTATGATTTTAATATATTACCCGATTTTTGAATAAATAAACTTTGCATCTAATTTTTAAAAAACAATCTTTAAAGACCTGATTTTATGTAATTTCCCAACTTTTAGCCCAACCAATATAGTCCAATTAGAAGAAAGGAAAATGCTACTTGTATATTAGGGGTACATAAGGGTGTTCATAATGGACACCCGGCACCTCCCCATTGGATGAAGTGCCTA